TTTTACAGGCTTCCTTATATAAAGGGATAGAAATATCTTAACTTCCAGATATGAAATGGAAGGGAAATTTGTCATTAATGTGTTTAACGGCCTGTAACTAAAAGAATTTTGAACAGAAGCACCTTATGGCGGTATCGATTAAACTATTTTAGCAATTGCTACGTGAAATGAGAAGAAGTGTGTGAAAGGAGCACCCTCAAGTAGTTTAAGGCCTGGGACTAAGGCGTTTTCTTGTGGAAAATGATTTATTGGTTCTAACTTTGGCATAGATGATGGCGCTGAATGAGAATTTGGCACACGTAAAGAACTCACCGTCATTAACATTTTAAAGTATAAACATTGTGTTAATAAGTCACGTGATAAGTCACGTGACCATTTTGCTAAAAATCGTGAATTACTGACCAATTGGTGCCCGGTTTAAGAAAAGAAATCAGGAAAACAATTTTCTATATTCATATTAAACATTTCTTTTATGGGAGAAAACATCATTTTAAATGCCCAAATTTAATCTTGAATTATTTAAAACTTTAATTTCAAACTTCGCTTACATTCAACGTAAAAAGCTAAGTATGTTTACCCTCTTTCAGAAATACCAATTTGCTTATCGAAACAAAAGTGAATTGGCCACCAATTCGCCAATTTCCTTCATTTTCATTTTTTTAAACGTTAGAGCACTAGAAAAACTCAAGATTTACTTTTGGGGAAAAGTTCATTTTTATTTTTGTCCCAACAATTTGACTGACACTGTAGCTGCCCAGAAAATCGGGCAGTTTAGAAATATTTTATTTGGGAATTTATAGACAAAAAATTAAATAAATAAACTGCTTCTAACAAGCTGACTTATTTTGAGAAGTCATTTCAAAATAAAAGTTGACTTAGTCTGGCAAAATAGGTTCTTTTATTTTGGGTCCTTACTAAGAATTTAGGCGAAGTAGGTTCTTAATTTTTATGAAGAATATTTTTGATGACCAGAAAAAGAAATCAACTTGGGTTTGGGCCTTAAAAACCAGTGGCGGATCCCGGGGAGGGGGGACCGGGGGACCGGGCCCCTCCCCCTCATTTTTAGACCAAACTAAGGCCCCGAAGGGTCGAAAAGATCTTTTTAAGACCGCCCCCCTCCTTATTCAAGGGTCTGGCTGACAGGGTCCCCCCTCATTTGAAGGCTTGGATCCACCACTGAAAATACAGTATTCACAATTGGATTCTTAACGAAACTGTTTACCAAATTTATATACAGTTTGGTAGAGTGTGTTCTTGTTATACTTAAATTTGAAATCCCAAAGTTGCACTGTTGGTAAAATGTTTATCATAATCTAACTGAGACCCAAAATAAAAACCTGTTCCCCGTTTTTATTTTCTTGATCAATATTTTGCAGAATCAGGAGCAGGGTCGGAGAATTGCGATGGTGGCTCTGATATTTGGAAAGGTAAACCAAAATAGCACTCTCCGGCTTGTTTAATTTTTGCTGCTATCTCTTATGTCTCCCTATAATCAAAAGGAAAAATGCGTGGTGACATCTTTTTTTCCACGTAGCAGGTTTAAAATTTATAAAAGTGGAACAAGCGACGGCTCTCCTGAACCCCATCTTTCCTTATGGAGTGTATTGCAATACATCTCAAATTGCCTGGTGGGAAACAGAAAAAAATAGGACAATGCCAGTAACTTTTGAGGCGTCAAATCCGAAGGGCCTAGAAAATTTTCCGTAAATTGGACACTTTTAATAAGACTCCGCTTGCTTACTGGAACAATTAAATAGGGATAGCTTCATTTCATTCCGCCGATGTTTTGTTTTTTAATTTTATCCTTCTTTTGATCTTCTTTTGCTTTTTTGTTTCTAGGTATGGTATAGCCTGCGAAAACAGCCGTTTCTCCTGGCTTCGCCGCTTGGCCGGCCGTGCGAAACGTCCACAGCGGCAAAGAGCGAGGAGAAACGGCTGTTTTCGCAGGCTAGGTATGGTAATGCATAATATCGAGTTAACAAGGGTATAAATATTTATTCAACCACAAATGTACTCCCATTGAAAGAAGCGTCTCAAAAATTCTATCGCCAACAGTAAATTCATTACCAAACCATTTTTTTTCTAAACGCCATAGAAGTGGAAGAGATGGAAAAAGGCACTTCAAAGAAAGAAATCAATGACTGGGTAAAAAAAATGCAGCAGGAATACCCGTCCGAGGCCACATTTGCCTGAGTAAGTTATTTATAATAACAACAAGCCGGAACGTTTATTATAGGCATTTGGATGATAAGTTCTTTTTACCACTGTTGACTAAGACCAGAATTCATTGCGTTTTTACTTTCATATTTAAATTTGATAATCACAGCGAGGTTTAAATAGCAAAACCCCTAATTTACACAAAAACGCCAAGCCCTGTAAGGATTCTGTGGTAGTAGTAGTCAAATGACGTTATCGAGCAAATGGCCTGTTGAATCAGCCCCTTTGCCCTGTTACGTGTTACAAGTCTTGGTCACGCGCTTGGATACCACTTAGCAACGACTCGCTGGATAGCACGCCATCCAAGCGTTCATGGGCGTAGCCTCCCACGCATCGTTCTTAGGGGTTCGTTACGCGTTCTTGCCGTAGGGCAGGAACGCGTGACGAAGTTAATTCAAACGTCTTCTAGTCCAATCATTTCGGTTAATTTTTAACAGAATAATTAAACTACGGATGGTTTGCCATCCAGCGAGCCGTTGCTATAAGTGTTATCCAAGGAAGTGACCAATTTCTGCGGAGGGCCTATTATGAAAACAACTCTAGGCAAAAAGTCCACAAAATTATAGCACTGCTGAACATTTCGACTACATGGAAAATTTCTGCTCAGGAGTGATAAAAATCATTTTTAAATGTACACGGTCTCTTAGGACAAAACAAGAACGCTATGTAATAGAATTCCTTTATTTGATTGACTCGTGTGGTAATGGAATATAAAGAACTTTTACTTTATATTAATAACATTTTTTCGTTCTTTTTTGAACAGGTTTAACTGACTAAACAAAGGAGCCGATCGACATAATGGAAATTAAACTTTGAATGCCTTTTCAGAAAAAGAAATATATTCTAGCTCACTAATTTTTTATAGTATTCTGCTTGTTCCGGTATATCACAACTTTCAGGGGCACTCAACGAGGATATAGTTCAAAACCACTTAACATAGCATTGTTGAACGTATATTAGTATTCAAACGGTAGATATAGGCATATTTTTATCCCCTAAAAACGTTTCATCTGTTCAGATTTCCTAGCTGAAAATCTAGTGATCCGAAAATTATAGGGATAAATACTTACCTTCTCGAAAATTTCAGCCAGGAAAAGGCTCCCGAAAATTCTAGGTGGCCATTTTTAGGGTCAAAATCCGTTAAAAATGAGTAATTATACCATTTTGTAGATGTTCGAAAATCCTAGGAGAGGCAGGCAAGCAAGAAATTTTAGAACAAATGCTCCGAAAATTCTAGATCTCAAATCGTCTTCCGAACAGATATTTTCCCGAAAATTGCCGTTGGGTGCCCCTGAACTTTGACTATGTTTTCTGAAAGAAGCTATCTCGAGAGTTTATTGAAGAGTACCAAAGCTGTATTATCCGGCACCATTAATTTTGGGTATCAATGAGTATAACATGCTTTGAGGAGATTGGGAAATTAAAATTAAAAATAGGCGAAAGAAAATGTTCTCAGTTCCTTGTGGTTAAAATCGATTTCTTTGCGATGACTTTATTTACACTGTAAATTCAAAAGATTTCTTTTGGCGCTGAATTTGCGGACTCGGACAAATGGTCTAAAATGATTCTCAGTGTATGCTGGAACAGCCATTTGATAGAGCTGTTTTGTTTCAAATTATTCTCAAATGGTTCAACCAGAGGCTGATTCAGACTTTGGTCAACAGGATAAATAGGCACTTTGAACTTTGCTCGGCTTTTCCAGGCGCTCAGATAGTAGAGAGAAGCATTAAACAAAGAAGGAAAGTGTGATGTGGTAGCAAAATTTCTGGATCTGAACAATCTTTCTTGACGGAGACGGCCATTTGCATTGTCTAACGATGGAATAAAAGTATGGGCTACAGTTTTGCTCCGAGTGCAATCATGCTCAGGAAAGTCATACATGTCCATTTTTTTTCGTTTATCGGCCATATTTGCAGAACGACGGTTGCTGAGATCCAGAGATTTTGCTACCACGGCAACGTGACGTAACGACTTCTCCTCTCTATAGAGAGCAGAAAGAAAGAAAAATGGAAGAGAGGGAGAGGGAAAAAAAGAGGACTTTTTTCGCCCTCTACTCCTAACCCCTTTGCTACTTTTCCCTTCTCTCTTCTCTTTGCACTGTCCCCATTATCCGAACACCTGGAACAGCTTGGTTACTCAGGGGCGAAAGATATTTCTTTTGAATTTTGCCTTCACTATTCTGATGTACTTTCCATTCACGGTTATAAGTACGAGCATGCGCTGCACCAGCTCTGATCAGCTCTAGTTATGTGGTATAAGAATTTCACAGGTTACAATCAGGCTATAAATTCACGTTTCTCCGTTTCCCACAGCGTGTGCCAGGCCAGAAAATGAAAAAAGTGAGCAAGCAGTGAAATAGCGAATGAGTGAAAAACGATGGGAATAAGGAAGGAAAGAACCTGTAGGCATCTTATTAAAGATCTTTTTTGTGTCAAAATATCAAACTTCAAAATGTTTAAAGGTGAGGTATAGGAGGGTTTCAAATGCTGGACATGTTTGTTAGACTCTATGTTAGTGAAGCCAAATGATTGACTCAACTGTTGAAATTAACTGTGATAATTGACCAATCATAGGGCATACCAGGAGCTTACAGGCTCCACTACTCCGTCTGTCCCCAGCCACTCCCTCCCCCCCTCGGTTTTCCTGTAACTTTTCACAATCCGCTTCCCCCACTATCTTGGAGCCTGGTACAGGCTACGTTTTTTATTGTCTTTAATCTTCCCGCTCTCTATTACAGTAGCCGAGAATGTCATTATGATATAATTCCAAGTATTTCACAAGTAAATGAAAGCTGGTTGGTACCTGCCTCGTACCCAGACGTCTCTCTCGATGTGCGCGCAAAGGAAGGCGGGAAGGAGACATGGTCCCTTGCGGTTCATCACCAGTCACTCGCATTTCGCGCTCGCCTCTGCCATGCAAAAAAACGAAGCGCCTGAGGAGGAGGCTGTGGTTGGTACATCTCTCCCCAGTCTGGCTCTCTGTTTTCAGCCTCGTTCCAGACCTTTTGTTTGACTGCTCGCGCATACTTGAATACGCAAAAATGCGGACTGTTTTGCAGTCTAACTAATGCTTGACGTGGGTTACGTTGGGGATATCCCAAGGGTATTCCTAATCTCCCGCGGAGGTTGTGGAATACCCCAGCGGTTTGGACCTTCCCACCACTTGAGTAAACCTCGGTCTTTTTTTCAGTTTTTCTTCAGAGCTTAAGAATCTTTGAGCATCGGGTGACCTTATTCAAAGTAAAAAAAAGAACAATTGTTAAATCAAACAACAATTCAACAACACTAGTTTTATCGTCTAAATAAATAAATTGACCATCGTTTCATCGTATAGAAACTTGAGTTGTTGTTTAGAGTGCTAGCTCTTCAAGGGAGCGAATCTTGAATCTTTTTTGAATGGCTTTGTATCTGCTCCTTGTTCGGTAGTTCATCGGTTACGTGGCTTTGAGACATACTGTAAGTAAATTTTATTTACTTAAGTTCACCAATTTTGGCAGGGTCACCGATGCAGCGCATGACGTCAATTACTGCGGGCCCGTAACACTCTCCTGCCTAAGATAGGTAGGTAGACCCCACTACGGGGGTGTACGTCTCCTACTCTTTTTGTACAGCAGAGTGGGTTCTTTTACGTCCCCCCCCCCCCAATACCCACCCAATTGATCAGGAAGGATGAAGGAGACAAGGTCAACAACTTAACGTCACCGATTAATGACGCAATCATCTAAACTGAGACAAGATGTTAAGACACAGCCAGAGTGATCTCACTACTAGTTTATTAAGACTCTTGTTGTTGGTCCAGCGGGACTTGGATAGACATCCTTACCGCGCTCTCCCAGCTGAGCAAAGTTAATAGGAGTCCAAATAACGTTGATATGTAATTGTCAAGATTACAAACTTAACAAATGAACTTACATCTTGACACGACTGATTGCATCTGCAATCTGCTTCGTCTTTTTGTGACTTGTTCCGAGCGTCACACTTAACATCTTATAAGCCTGGGGAAGAGATCATTTAATGACTCAGATGCACTTTTGCAAGTTAAATCAATACTATTACGGTTCCCTGCCGCTATCAGAGGCCTCTTTTCACTAAAGAAAAGACACCTCCCTCCTGTCAAAAGCCAGGGAAAAGAGGCCTCCAGTCTGCTAGCAAGAAAATGTTACAGTGACCGGTTTTATGCAGAGGTCGTAAAATCAGAACTGGGGCCATAAAATCTAAACCAACCAGATGTTCAAAGCAAACATAGGCAGTGAGCTAGTCATGATTCTTCTTAAATTGATTGTATTTCCTGCCCTGGTCTGATTGTTTTAAAGAATTGACCCAAAATAGGCCCTTTCAGCAAATTTTTCACGTGGTACAAAACCGCAGAGATGGAGAGCAAGAGAACACTAAGAAAAGATAAACAAAGGCAATTACTGCATTAAATGATGTAATCATGAATGACATATGATGTTTGTCTTGTTCCAGTGCTTTTCTTGCTCTCCAGCTTGGCGGTTATGTACCTCAAAGGGCCTAATGCGAAACTCTCGACTAAAATAGCTCTCTCTTTTTGTCAATCTTTTTTAATGTTCACAGCCCCCTATCTTCCCGTAACACAACCTTGCCGTAAGATGGACCATTGAGCAGGCGACTATCGTGGTTTCAATTGTACCGAGAGGGCGTACAAGGTAGTGCCCAGTCCCCTAAGTAAATTTGACACTCTTCCCTGGGTTACACTTTGATACGAAACCAAGATGGCCGCCTGTTACAGTAAGCGCTGGATCTCGACGATCTTAAGGAAAAATGGGGATTGTAAACAGTCTGTCAATCCCTTCACTGTCACATTCTATCTTAACAGTAATAGTGCGAGTTTATTAAATGAAAGAAGATAATCGAAGTTATAGACGCAACTTTTGCATTTGCGAAATGAAAGGGTGAAAAATTCAGGCATGACGGTATTCGAACCCTTGACCTTTGTGATGCCGGTGCAGCGCTCTAACCAACTGAACTAACAAGCTAACTGGGAGCAGGTCAAACGATTAAGATGAAATAAGGAATTTATGAAAAATCTTATATAGGAACTGTGGGGTGAAGAATTAAATGAAAGAAAATCATCGCAGTTATAGACGAAACTTTTACAGTTGCGAATAGAAAGCCTGAAAAAAATCAGTGACTTTATCATCGGTTTAGAAGACTACCTTTGTGAGCCATTTTAAGGCCTGTTCTGTGCGTCCCTGTTTGAGTCGAATACTTCCTAGCATCTGATAAGAAGCAGCTGCCTCTTCGCTTGGATCTCCATACACCACAACTTTTGCTTCTGCTACTGACTTCTGCAGTGATACGGCATCCTCAAGGCTAGCGTCACGAATCAGCAAACGGCTCAGTTCATCCTACAGTTTTGTAACAGTGGGTTTAGTCTTATAAGTTTCTCTGTAGCTTTCGTTGCTCCTAGCCCAATCTCCTCACGGTTTCACTACCCTCGCCTGCCTTAACTTGTTTGCGTGCCCTACCAAAACCGCTATGACACGACTTTACAAAGACTGTCTCGCTAAGCATCGCATCTAACTACACAGAGGAATCAAGCACATGCTTTTAAATAACCAATAGGCTATAAAATCGCGACGTTTGTGAAAATTGCAAAAACAAAAGTTGAAAAATTGAACGTTATCGAGTGATAGTTTTGCGCGTAACTGGCGTTGGCTGGAATTTTGCTTTTGCGTAGTTACACAATTAACAACAACAATGCTCATTATGCGAACCTTTCACATCCAACCTAGCGAGCGTGGCAGGCGATATAAGGGAAAGGGGAAGAGGGGATTCTCGCAGGTGCGCGAGAGTATCATCTTATCGGCTTTGCATATCAATTAGGGGACTGTTTGGAGAAACTGAATAGCGTCGCTGGAGGCGTTCGTGTTTTCGCCATCCTTGCGCACTCGAAATCTTCCTTCCCCTTTTAAACGCCTTCGACGCAGGCTAAACAGAACGCATTTTTAAAAAGATGACAGCAAGAATTTCCGTGCCAACAGAAAAATGAGCAAGGACTTGTACACTAACCTGGACCTTTATAGTGGAGTTGTCATAGGGACCTTTGTACTTCATATACAAGCTGATGGCATCCTCCAGGTATTTTTTCGCTTTTTCATTATCATCATCATCGCTGCTCAAATAACTAGAGGCCAAAACAAATGATGAATCTGCAACTTCTAATGAATCCTCTCCAAACCTTCCAAGAAATAGGATAAAAATGTAAACAAAACAGTAACGTTTGCCATTGTACGTACCCACAATCCAACTCGGTGGTGACAGATTATCTTCCGGTCTCCAGATTAGAGTCTGAAATCTCTTGGATAATCGCCGAAGTTTGCCATTTCTTGACTCACTTTCCGACAAGAAAATTTCAAATATTTTGCATTGTTTGAGCTAATTTACTGTTAACATCGACATTTCCTTATAAACTCCGGTATGCCATTGTAATATTAGCAGTTATGTGATTGGTAGGTAGTTAACCAATCAGGTCAAATGTTTCAATGCCAACGACATTTTTTTTCGCGCGCTTTGTGTCATCGCAAATTCGCGACCATCGGAGTCAATGTCTTTTTTTTTTTTGCACAAATGACGTCATGTGCCGTGCGTTATCAAGTCATCTATCATTCCTTCCGAATTAATTTTGAACATTTGAAGACGTGGAGGGTTGACAGCCATGTTACCGAATGGAGGAGTAAACTGGAACTGGAACTGGAACTGGAAACATGTAAACGGAAAATGCTAGCTATTCAGCGGGTCACATGCCTGGAATCATGATTATATGTAGAAAACCTACAATTTTCTCCTGAGGGCTGAATTGTTGCGAAAAAGGTTTCTGACGAAGTTGGCCACTGAAAAGAGAGTTCTCTCATTCCATGATCTACTCTAACAAACTTACATTCATAAGCTGGTGTTTTATCACAATCGAACATGCTGAAGTCAATGCTATAGCCAGGCCTATAGTGAAGAGAGATGTGTCCTCATTCTCACGACTTCAGCAAACTTTAGTTACTTCCTTTCAACACGATTTCTTGCTAAAATCGCGAAACTTAAGTCTAACGAAATTTGCCAATTGTATAGGACTTCATTTTCGCGAAATTAAGTACTAGCAGGAGACTATCATGGGCTCCTGGTGCTAGTAAAAGTAAGTAACAAATAAAGGTAGACCTCTCTCTTTTTTGCTTGCAATAGGTAACTCTCTTTTTTGTCTGTTCAATAGAGCCAGTCGCACATAAAACTGTCTTTGTATAATTACAGAGGTAACTCTTATTAATTTAAGAGAAAAAACTGCCCATTTGTACTACAGTAAACTTAAACAGTGAAATAAAAAATAGAATTGCACCGCAAATCACAAAGTCGCAGGATAATGGAATTTTCACAACAACTGCATACGATTTGAAACCCACTACCTTGATATACATATATCATGAGCTTTTAACAGATGTTTTGTGGCCCTTTCATGGCTGGATGAATCACCATGGCTACTTTCTGCTCGGGCTAAACACTGGTAAATGGGAATAAGCTCTTTACTGCCTTCACCGTACTGTGTCTGGGCAACGTCGAGTGCCTTAGGAAATAAACAAAAAGTTGGCAGAACCAATCAGTAATTATAATGATGATGATTATAGTGATGATGATAATGATGATGATGATATTGATATTGATTATGATAACCTTCACCGTATTGTTTCTGGGCAATTTTTAGTGCCTTAGTAAACACAAAGCCAAACGGAAATAATAATAATGATGTTGAAAATGATAATGATAACGCTAATGATACTGATAATGATGATGATTAAAACAAAGGACCTATGATTATTTGGAATTTCTTAGGGAAAAAAACCTGTCAACTTTTTGAGGCATCAGTTTTTTCATCCTGAAGAGTACCGCGATCAGTTCCGAAGAAGTCCCAAAGATTTCCGAAGTACTCTAGAAAATGATATATGATTAAGCACCATACGGGGAAAGTACTATCACTCAAAGGACTTTTCTTTTCTCCAATTGTTTCTAGTCTAGTCCCTTTACGTTATATATTTCTCACGAATGTGTAAGTTCTGGCTGTAATAACCTAAATTTTTGCCCACGGTGGAAGAAATTGGTTCGTGGTGTGAGATCAAAGTTTTTGACTTTTTATTACAGTGATATGAGTTGTTTTTTTCCTCAGTTTCCTCCGTGTGCCTTCTCCTTCGTGCGTGAAATCAACGCGATCACGTAATACGTTTGCTCTTCTATCCTAGAGCAACGGATTAGCTATTTTTTTCAGTCTTGTTATAAGTCAAATTATGCGTTAACTTATTAACTTGATTTGCAGCGATATTTTTTCATTTATAGGGCAACTTTCTGTCTCCCAGTCAATAGTGGAGTCAAATTTGACGGCGGGAATTTTCGAGATACTTTCCCTGGGAACTGCTTGATGCGGATCATAGTAAAGAGGGGTAAAGTCGTAAAAACAGAGATTACAAAATCTAGAGTACACGGTCAGATAACAATCATACGATACTGTACCTTTTCAAAAGACTCCAAAGCATATCCCGTCTTGTGAGCCTTCAGACTGACCCGCCCAAGGGACATAAGTATTTGGAGTCTCCTCTGCGGATCACGGTATTCAAATCCAAGTTCTTCCCTTTCTCTTGATACTACTTCTGCTTTTTTTAAGGTGTGCTCTGCCTTTTGAGTGCTGTATAAAACAAAAGGAAATTACATTGCTTCTACCAACGTTTTTAACATCTTTAGTTTGAACAAAAAATGTTTTATGAACTGCTTAAGATAAAAAGCCTATAATCATTTCAGAACTCCACAATATTGATAATTCCATTGCCCGCTACTGGACTTTTCCTGGAGGTTCTCTACAGTAGAGGCACCTGAATGTAGTGGTACATAAAAGCAGCAACAGTGGTGGCGCATGGCTGATGGCAGCAGTGTTTTTTGGAAGAGAGATTCAAATATTTCTCAACACAAAATATTTCTTCAACCACTATAAAACCTTGACCCTAGAATGCAACCTCACCCATCCAGTATGTGTAACTAAAATATGTACCTCTGAGCAAATCTTCCCCCCAAGGAAGAATTTTCCATGTCACTACACATGTTGTGTGAGGCAAAATGTGATCTTAGAAAAACACGTCCTTGTCATGTGAGTTTGGGTGGCGAGAACTCCATGGTTTATTGTTTAGGTCTGGAGTTAAATATCAGAGGGTTTTCACAACTTACTTCTTCAAGGCAAGCTGAGCCTGTCCCATTGTGAGGTATATTAACTCCATGACAGGTAAAACATCTGATCTGTCGTAAACTTGTCTGCCTTGTTGTTTAGCTGCATCTGCTGCTAGTAACACATCACGGGCATTTCCAGCATGCAGCAGGGCTTGTGGAGCCAATCCTATGAAAAAAAAAAAACAAGAGCTAAAATTGTGATAAGCTGAGTCTTCAATATAAAGTACTTCTATGAAGAACTCCTGCTAAAGATTCCTCCATAATCCAGACACCCCTTAATTAAGGGCAGTTATCCTGCTTCCAAAAATGAGAATCAAAGCTGTTCCTAGAACAAATTGACACCTCTGATCTGTAAAATGGACATTTGGATGTGTCCCTTTAGTGTCTGAATTAAGGAAATTTGACTATGTGAATGTCAAGGATATGCCAAAAACTTTCATGTGTGTCCACCACTTACACACAACAACCTCTTGACATGAGCTTCCCCCTTGGAAAAAATGCTGGAACCTATTAAAACAACTAAGATCAGCTTCAGGGTGGTAGTTTAAAAATTTTGATTAGAATAATTCTATTTCATTCTCCTAATTCTATTATTGACAGGTGGTCGCGTCTCCTTCTGGTGCAAATTTTGCAAATTTAAAGGTCAAAAGTCAAAGGATTTTTTCTGGTAAAAAGTGCACTTAGACCTAATATCAGCTAGTTTATGAGCACTCCACTCAAATAATTAGAAACAAATAATTCAAATATAATATAACAGAATTAAAAACCCCAACTGGCAGGAGGCAACCAGTTGGCTATTTAAAAGGGTTGTCAAGGGCTTTAACTTGGACAACAGAGAACAAATCCAGCAAGTGGCTAGAGAGGGTCGCGAAACCAGGAGAACTGAACTTTGAATCTGACGTACTGACCACTTGGTCACGCTGTCTCCACCAAATTTGACGGTAGGGTGTTGCACGTTTAATCAGCGGTAGGATTAAAAAGTTTTTCTCTGTCTATTTTGATGGCTTGTCCCATAACGTATTACAGTTGACTCCCGATAACTCGAACCCTCACTTACTCGAACTACATGAATAGTCAGTTTCCCCTGGATTTCCTGCACTGTAATTTTACCCTTGATAACTCAAACTATGTTTTCAGCATGGGACAAGTTGTAAAAAAAAAACAGTGTACTGAAGTCAAAACATTGGATATATTTCAAAAACAACCGTGTCAATAATTATTATTTGTCACTCCAGTTCAATTTCAGTGTCCATTCAAGGCTGTATATTAATTAAATAATTAATTAATTGTTGCTTAATTCCTTTGTCAAAATGTCAATCTTTATCCCAGCTCATTGCCCTTGAAGTGAAGTGTGCACGATACTTGCATTCCCTCCCCATCCATTTGCTTATTTCCTTATTTCCTGTTATTTGCTTCAAACTCCCAATAACTTGAACTTTTTTCCTTTGCCCTAGATGGTTCAAGTTATGGGGAGTTGACTGAAGTTTAATTACAAACTACTTTATACAATTGTATTGTACTAAAATATACCTACCTCTTATTTCAAGATATGCCTGTGACAACTTGGAATAAGCTTTTGCCAGCTTCCAATGATTGTCTCCATAAATAATTCTAGTTAAGGCCACACAGCACACGCGATCATACACAGCTCTCTCATCTCCCATGTTTGCAAATTCACGTGCTTGCCTTCTGTAGTTCTTCAGTAGCACTTCAGGTGGGGCCAAACCTGATCAAAACAAAGTAACATCATTGAAAAATACTAAGAATAGAACAGAATGGAGGGTACAGTAAGATGGGCAAACAGCTATGCTAGCACTCACCTCTGGATTCTACAAAAAATATAGGTGCAAATATAATACATACCGTATTTACCCACGGATAGGCCGCACCCGTGTATAGGCCGCACCCCAAACTTTCAATGGTTTTCATGGGAAAAAAAAAATAGTGAGGTCGAGTACCGGGATAAATAAACCGAAGTTTGAAATCAACAACCAATTCATTTTTGACAATAATTTCTACATGAACATGAAAATATTCAAACTATAAACTGAAACGCCTCTTCACTAACATTTTATACACAGAATACTTAAAGACAAAATCAAGATTCTTCGAAGATATGGACTTAGTGTTTAGTTGTATGTGTTGTAAGTTAGTGTACGAGTGTAAGATCTCTTGCATATTAATGAGGTGTCAAAACGCTTATACCCACGTATAGGCTGCAACCCTAATTTCGGTCCCATTTTTTCGGGAAAAAAGTGCGGCCTATCTGCGGGTAAGTACGGTAATTAAGTTGAGTTTATCACTGGTTCTTGGAAACAGTAACCTGAGAACCTTTTTCTGTGAACCACCGCTTTTTTTACCCCCACAAAAACAACAAACAATAATCATTGATGAGCACCCCCCAAAACTGCAGTCATGTGATTGTACTGGTCACAGATAGGTTTATTCAGCTTGAAACAAAAAACCTGCGAGTAAATAAAGCACATGCATATGTTGTGGTTTAATTTTATCCTTGTTTAAATTTTCTTTTCCTTTGTTTTAGGGTATGGATGAGTTTGAAACAAAGGAAAAAAAATGAGGGTTTATCATGAATGTGCTCATCTGATGTAATCACGCATAAGTGCCATTGTTGAGGGCTTATATAAGGGGTATCATCCCTTTTTATAGCAAACTTACCGTTGATGTATCCTGCAGCTCTGCTGTCATCTTCAACTGTAATTTCATTGTCTGATTCCTCAGAAGAAGAATACCTACGCTGCACTGTTATTCCTATGGGTCTGGAGTTGTTATCTGAAGCTGACGGTATGTGGATGACTTCTTGAGTAGCATTTCCATGCCTGCCTACAAAAACCATTTTTATGAGAAAATTAGGCGAAACTACAAATTAGGTGTTTTTAGTGCTTATCATATGACCTTCTTCCATAAATAACATTCCTTCCACCCTTATTCAAACTCCCGGGGTACTGCAGAAAAATTGGGTAGGGTGTGTGCCCGCTTCCCAAAACCCTTACCCTATTTATGACCAAAATCTGCGATTTTCCCTACCCTATTTATGACCTAACCAAAAATTTGATACCCTAGTTATGACCTGACCCTTAAATCAATACCCTGTTTCAGACCTGCCTTATAATTATTTCCCTAGTTCAGACCAATGTTAAAGGCAATGTTTATCTGCTTTTATTAGGTTAGGGGGACATGATAAGGAAATAGCTTCTTCTAAAAAAGTGCATTCAAGACTACAGTGCAAAAATCGTTACCCTATTTATGACCAAAATGGCGGCAAAATAGCCAAAATCGATACCCAATTTATGACCAAAACGGCTGAAAAACCCTACCCTTTGGGGCCGCACATACCTATATAGCCCATATTAGGAGTACCCCCGGGTTCAAACTAAAGAAATGTAAGTCTGGTGAGCATTCCATCACAATCCAAAATCACCACCCATGCTGCCCATCCCTGATCATGCAGACAGTTATGGATAGAAATGAGGCTGGAGTTGACCTTGTTTTGATACAACCCTCCCTGCTTTATTATCGAATTATAAATCAACTTGTTTTTTTTTTAGCATAATTAACATAAGAAAAGCAAAGAGGTTTGTCTCAAAACAAGCGCAAGCGGCTCAGCCTCATGTTCAATCAAAGGGCAGCATACTAAAATGGTCTATTGAAGTGGTTGACAAACAGGACATCACACAAGCGTGCAGTGATACAGTAGTTGTCATGATAATTTTAACCAGCCTTGAACATATATACCTGGTTGACTGATCTCTTCAGTATCACTTGCAGTGTCTGTTTTGCTGAGGCTCGCGTCGCTTTCCACCGACGGTACGTCCAGTTCCATCAGGCTTCTCTGTCATGCAAGCATTCTAAGTGCATTAGTTTATTCACAAGGTAGAAATCAGAGTAAGACAAAGCCCGGTTTCCCGGCAGATTCCAGGAAAAAATCAATTGACCGAATTTTCAGTCCAAACTCAGGAATCATCGGCGCCATATTGTTTTTTCAACGCGCAGAGCTTGCCGGGAATACTGTTTTGTGTCGTCATAGTAACCGAAGACCCTCCATCTTGACTTCATGCAATCCTTCCGGCCGTGCAGACGATACATCAACATTTTATTTTGAAACGGAGAGTTATGCCTCAACAAGACGAACCCATTTATTGTTCACAGCAAATCAACATTCCTCCTGAATTGCCAGACATCCTGAAACAGTTCACCAAGGCCGCCATTCGTACCCAACCAAAGGATGTATTGCAGTGGGCCTACGCGTAAGTTAAGATATTTAAAACGTCTAGGAAAAAAAGACATAACGACTGACATCTATTTTCTCGTAGGAGAATTGGAAAATTAAAGTTCTAGTAGACAGTTCTAGCCTTTTCAAAGTACAGTTTACTGTGCACCAGCCAGTTAAAGTTTATATCGACATGACTCGATCATGACAACTACTGTGGACCAAAACTTGGTACCTCAACTGCTTCCTTTGAAAGTCGATTTACAAGTTTGAAAGTAGCATATATATTTATTTAAGATACTAAATTTGTGTGGTTTTTCATGTTTCATGAACCTCAATGTTGAGTAGGTGGCAAATTAAATAATCTCCTGAAAGTGGCAAAATATTATTTTGCTGTCTGCCAACTCATTTTGACTATGCTGCCTCTCTCGTCCTGCGTTGGTACTGTAAGCTACTGTAAGCCCTGGTTTAGTGCCAGGGCCCTAAAATAATCGACTAGAACATGCTACCCTTTTTTGCTCCTGCATATGGTTAGAGGAATTTGGGTGTGTAGGAACATGAAGGGAGCTTTTGACCATATACATGCACATTTTAATTTGATTGGATACACCTGCAAATTTGCGCTATAAGTAATGAAATTGGGCTATTGCATTTAATATCCGCACGCCCCGGTTGAGGAACCATGGAATTCTCCGGGGTAAGTTATAAAAATTGAGGATTTCTTTAGCGGTAGAGTTAAAAAATGTGGAATTCTTTGGGGGTGAAGCCTTAATTTTCACGAAATTCTTCAGGGCTAAACCTGTATTCTTCAGGGGTATGACCCAATTCTTCAGGGGTAAACCCATATTTTATGGAAGTCTTCAGGGGTGGATGCAATTTTAGCCAATCTTCAGGGATAAGAAGAAAAGGTCATTTTATAAGTCCTCAACCAGGGGGGGAGGGCGGGTACGGACATAAAAATAATGCAATAGCCCATTACAGTCAACTCTCTCATGGTGACCACACTTCTCAAACACAACCACCTCCCATAAGCAACCACTCTGTAAATAACCAATTTGTTTTCAGTCAAATACTGTTTCAAAAGCTCTCTTGTAACTAAGTAACCACTTCTTAGATATTTTAAGGAGCCGTGGCCAGAAATTTGACATATTCTTTTGTTTTCTTTTCCCATAAGTGACCACTCAGCATGAACACATATGTTTATAAAAAAAACTTTGCTTGAAGGCTGCAAAATTATTCAAGTTTTTAATAGTGCTGACCCTTCTTGCTGACAGATTATAGCAGTTAACTGAAGATGGCTGTAATATGATCTGTAGGTAAATTAAGTGGATTGTTAAATTGATGCAAAGTGTTATGCACAAAGTTTCAATAGTTCCATGCACTACTTTATGTGTGACTGAATACATTATTGCCAGTTGTCTATTTGCCTAATTTTGTAAGGTAATAACTTTATGTAATTACCTTAATCAGTTTAGTTTGAGCTTATTTTCCTGATTATTCCCGTAGACAACCACCTCCCGTAAGTGACTACTAATCGTTCACCAAGGGTGGTCACTTATAAGAGAGTTGACTGTATTACAGAAACGAAATATAAAATAATGTATTATTATTAAAGGAAGCTGGAAGGAGAAAGATTAATGTCTGCAATGAAATCACTGTTTTTGCAATTCCACCAACCCATATCAATCTATGTAACATCTAGTCAGGGATTAATTCTGATATGTTGCAGAAAAAAAGTCAAATTTTGCGGGATTTTTAGAGACAGATTTGCCGAAAAATCATCTGTTTTTGCAGGAATTTCGCAGAAATTTTTGGGTTAACTTCACCAAAAAAATATCAGTAAAAAACGGCCAATTTTGTGGAAATTTTCTGGGCAAATTTCGCTAGAAATTGATCAATTTTGCACTAATTTCATGAGCGTGTTTAGTGTTTTTTAACAGAGATAATCATTTGCTATTTTAACGACAAAGCATTTGAGAAATGAGCCAATGGCAAAGCTTTAATATCATGAGTAGTGCCCAGTTTTTCGCAACAGAATTTACACCTGGTATTTTTTGGACATGGTTTGCTTGTTGTGGTGATGAAGTTTCAAGATAAATTTATTTGCAAGTTTACGGCAACTAAACAGTCCCAATAGCCGAGATGAGTTTTAAATATGTTGTATTGACATGTATTAGTCAAGATAAGATTTCTTGCGAATTTCACGGTATTTAGCGTGTTTTTGTGAATTTTGTGGGATGTCACGGATTTACCTGAATTTCATGACTCCGGGACCATGCGAAATATCAGAAGCCCTGCCTAGTTGTCACAAAAAGTAAAAATGACCAATCAACCCAAGAATTGTGAACAGATCACCTCTTGCTGAAAATATTTGAAAATAAATTTTATTCAGGTGGAGGCTTTACTCTGTAAACATGCATCTTGTAACTAAGAGCAGTAGCACAGTAGCACAGTAGATAAAGTGCCCAACCAGTGTCCAGTAGAATAGAGGTTTGAATGTTGTTGCGGACTAATTATTATTTCCCTGTCTTTTTTTATTCACATGGTATTCAATGCTTTACAATTTGTAGGTACTTTGATGCACTTTCCAAAGGTGAGACACCCCCTGTGAAGGATCGTCTTGAGTTTCAGTTAGGACAGCCCTTGGAAAAACCATTAACGCAGGGGCTACTGGCAGTTTTACACAAACAGGTATTTTCTGTTGCTCTCTTTTTCATTCAATTTACAACAACAATTAATGTCTTGACAGCAATGACAAACAAAATCTTAGTCAGAGTCTTGAGGTGTGACAAGCATCCCGTGCTATTTTGAGGCCACCATAGGAAAGTGTTTGTCCTGGCTGATTCTCTTTCTTACCCAATTACTTATCAAGTCATTAATTTATTATAATATTTTTTCAAGACACGGGTGATAACGAAATTGTAAATCCAAGATTCACAGAAAAATATCTACAAAACACTTGTTTGAAAATCTTAGACAGCTGTGTGGTGTAAAAAAGAAACCTCAAGACAGAAAAACCATGTAATTAAGGAAGAGTTGATGAATTGTCAGAGGTGCCTTTGAGATTTCATGATTAACCTGCAAACGGCAGACGTTTCTCCTCGCTCATCGCCGCTCAGAGACATTTTGCGAGGAGGAACGTCTGCGACTCATCGACAAAAATTCCATACTGATGATACAAAATCTGTCCAGAATCCGGTCAGAAGCGCTAAATTGGTCAGCGGAGTAGTTTTTCATTGTTTTAGCTATTGTTTACGAATGACAGACAAAAGTCAAAAGGCCTCAAAGGTCAAATGGAATCTCTAACAAAGCAGTCACTATTTGCGGAATATAGTCTTCTCCAGAAGTGGCATTTGAGTTTTTCTGGAGCTCATTTGCAGATGAACACAACACTTTACCAAAATCGACCAGGAGAAACGAAAAATTGAACAAATTTGCATTTGGAACCCCATCACTACCGGATTTATTATGTAAGCATTGATTTATGTCATCAGTATGGAATTTCTGTCACTGAGTCACAGACGTTCCTCCTCTTGAACCATCCCTCAGTGAGTGAGGAGAAACGTCTGCCGTTTGCAGGCTATTTCACGATCAGATCAAAATTTTCTATGAATCCTAGTTTCGATGTTTCAAAGGTATTTGCCATTTGCTATTACTTAATGAAAATAAAATTACATTACAAGTAATCTTGTGCCTTTTTTATTTGATCAATACATAGTATGTTTTAATTTTTTTAGCTCGGTGGAAAGCCCATAATAGAGTTATCGTCCTTAGAGGAGAAATGGAAACACTTGTCACTTCCTAAAGACACTTTGGATGAGCTTCTGAGGTAAAACTCCAAACATTTTATTCTATTTTTCAAATTTTAGATTTCAGGTTGATTGTACTTTAATAATCAGGGTGCAAAGAAAATCATATTTACAGCTTGCCATTCGGGCAAGCTTTAGCTAGCATCTACTAGCCCAGACGTCATTTTAACTAGCCTCAAAAACTTATTGACTACCAGAATTGATTTCACAGTTCTTCTGTTATTCAAATTCCTCAAAACACCTCACTTGCCCATCGGGCGGGTTAAAAACAGAATTCAGTAACCCAATAGCAAAATCCACAAGCCCTGGGCTATCGGACAGTACTTTCTTTGCAAGCTGAATATGCAAAAGTTTTGTCACAAATCTACTTTATGGTGATTTTTGAATTACGTAAACCCTCCCTATATAATACGCCTTGCGGTACGATTTCAAGTAGATTTCTGGATATTTTAATGCACTCTAGAAATCACTTGTTTTTGTAGTCAGTTTATTGCATTTATTCTTTTCTGGAATAGAGTCAATTGAAGTCATGCCCTAGCCCTTATAATATTAGTTTGTTAGCTTTATTCCTGACTGTGTATGTTCTAGTCAAAGGGTCTTCTTCTACTTTGATTTTCCTATAAACTGCTCTTAACTGGGGTCAATGCTGATGTACATGTAATACTTTAAATGTTTTTCAGAATGGGAAGTTTCGCTGAGGAACTGAGGTGGCTTCATTTTTTTGCCCTCGCATGTAGTGCTATCAGTGAGGTATGTGTTGTTGTGGTTCAATTTTATCCTTGGTTTAAAGTTTAGTTAGTTTTTATAGAGAGCGCGAGGGGGGCACGAGCGTCCGCGTAATTTCTCCCTTCGCCCTGAAAAAACCCGTGCCTGCTACACAGGCTAAATCTCCCACTGACTCATTTTATAGTAATTTGTTATTAACCTGTTTATTAATCATCATAACAAATTATCTTGTTAGCTTATATTGGAACTTAAGGAACTGAAATCTTTTAGTGGACGTAGTATTCTTGACATAAAAGAACTATTACAGTCAAACCAGGTCAAGCGTTCCCGTCGCTAACAAACTAATGAATTCATTAATGGAAAAATGATTTCGTTTGTTGATTCAATAATCCATTCATAAAATGAATAATCCAACGGTCAAATTGTACCTCGATTCAATAATCAAATGTTGATTTGGTTTATGAACAAACTCTACCTGTTCTTTATTCTTGTCTGTTGTGTTCAATCGTATTTGCTTCCCTTTTCCTGCCGTTTACGATTGCGTTTTCCATTGCCTTTAATCAAAATAACAGCTAGAATAGACAGACCGCAAACGCAAAGAAACTGACAAAGGCCGAGGATCGAAATCCACCAATCACCGCACATACACTGACCTCAGTTTGACCGTCGTGTTTTCTAAGAGGTCAGGCCTAGGTCTGTTGCACTGACTATTGGCAGCAAACTGGCGTACATGTAACAGTTTGTTTGGGTTTGAACTTCAGAACTCGCAAGCACTCGACTCTCAGAAAAAAAAGAGGAAAAAACAAAATTCTGAGGTCAACTTGTGGAAAGTGTAATTTTTCAAAAAACAGTAATCGAATCAACATTCGATTATGGAATCGAGGCTAAATATGACTATTGGATTGTTCATTTTATGAATGGATTATTGAATCAACAAACGAAATCATTTTTCCGTGAATGAATTCATTAGTTCGTTAGCGACGGGAACGCTTGACCTGGTTTGACTGTAAAATGAATTGTCTCTTGTAGAATCTGACGTTGGCAATGAAGACAGTTTGTGAGGTTTTAACAACAGATCTAGAGGGTGGAGCAGCAAGGATTCCTTTCTCGCTTTTCAAGGAACTGTTTACTTACTTAGCTGAGATCGACGGAGAAATACCCAAAGAACATGTGGACACAGTTATCGAACATCTGAGTTATGATGTGTGAGTTATTTCTAAACGCACTTGACTTCACTTCTTAGCCTGTTTTGCGAGCAACCCTGCCCAAGCTAAGAGCAAAAGTTACCTTTTAGAGTCTGAAAAGTTACAGGTTACCTAATTTTAATATGTTCTTTCAGTTCCTGCTAACAAAATTTTTCAAAAGCGAACTGTTTTCGCGTTTTTAATACGGAAAGTTGATCAACTAATGCAAAAGGCCTATTGTATTTTATAAATGCAGATTTTCAACACACTAAATTATCTCCTTTTCAAGATCTCAGCGTCGGGTTTATTCTTATAATATTCTTAAAATTTTGCAAATTAATAACCCGTGCGCACGGTGTGATAAAGCCGAACTCAAGCAAATGAGTCTGCTCGCAGGCTTCTGTTGCGGCTTGCCTCGAACTATCAGGAACGAGCAAGTAACAAAGATAACCCTCTGGTACCAAGGATACAGTCCACTAAAACACCCTATAGCCTTTCCACATCTCATAAGATGACGACTATACGGTAGTTCTCTGTTGTTCCCATACTGGCGATCGAAACGGAGGAAACGTTTCGTTTCAGTGACTTTACGAAGCTCTAAAAACTTGTAGTTCGAACAACGCACAAGACGTAAAGTTGCAAAGCCTTTTAAAAACTCCGGCTGTTGTGGCTGATATGAAACGCCACGCTTTCTATGTTGTATTTCACTTGAAAAAAAATGGAAAATGCTTAATAATATGCTTTTTTTTTCAGGGAAAAGCAAGATGGACAAGTATCCCCTCGCAACTTTATGAGTGACAGCTGCCCTCCTCTATCCCCTAACGAAAACTCAGCGTAGAATTTTATAACAACCTGTCTTCTTTTTCCCCTACCGATCAACTGGCTAGTTCATTTATTTGTACAGTGTTTTACAGCCCAACTGTTATTTTTTACTTCATCCATTAATACAGCATTACGAACTCTGTGATGGCTTTTCCTGTTCAGTACAGAAATTGCGGCTTCTGTTTTAGCGTTAAAAGGTTCAAACACGCAAAGAACGTGTCGCCGACATACGTTTTAGAAATCCTCTGTGCTACGTGTATATATGAAAGAACATTCTTCGCTGAAGCTACAATGTAGCTCACTACATTGCGTAATGGTATACTACATTTTTCCGGAGCTTATCCAAAATTGTACGAAGTTAGCGGTGATTCCGATGACTTAAAAGCCTCAAAAATACCAACGGCGATGGTTAATGCGTGCAACGAACCAGACCGGCAACTATTCCATTGTACATATACTGATGTAATAAAGATACCTAGCAATTTATTTGATATTGTTCTATTGTATTGAGTTACAGGAAAAGAAAAATGTTATGGGGGTTTACATAAAACAAGTTGGATGAAATATTTAACCTCCGTTTTTGATAAAGTTATGGTTTAATAATGCAAGTGCCACCTTTAATCCTCCCTTGTCTGGTTAGAAAGTCTTGGAAAGCAGGTTTTGGGGTCGGGTGTTTCTCAAATGTTTCAATTTTTCATTGACATTGAACTACGTTCCTCTTATGATTTAATTTATTTTCGCTATATAACAACGAGCTGTAAACTACGAATTACGAGTTTCTGCAATCTGTATTGAAGTTGTACAATTCAACCTTGTGCATTGAAAAGTCAGTTTATGCGAATGCAATAGTTTGCAATCAGTTCTTCTCCATTTTTCCCATCTTGTGATCCATGCCTCGTTGAAAGGCTGTTTTTGCTTGAGAGACAACTGACATTTCGCGACGTCACACTGGTTTCTCCCTGGTAGGGTGGCGAGTCCATTTATTTTTCAGGCTAGGCTGTTTAACTTTTGTATTTTGTTTTGTAATCAGTTTGTTGGCTTATCTGTTATTATATTATTGTTGTTTTTTTTTTCGGAAAGGGGAGGATTTCTTAGCAAATGCTAAGTGCAATGGTGTTAAAAAAGCACTGAAGCTGTCTAGAAAAACTAGGCACTGATGTATCTTTTAAAAAGAAACACTACATGTTCGACTGCGCAGAGACACCTTACACGATTAGCCTGAATTCATCCGATT